CTAAGGTGGATGACTTGGCAGTTGACGTTCAGCATGCCTCATGCTTCAAGGCATATATCCCTTAATTTATTTGTGTGTGTGCAATCAGGGAGATTGTAAACAACTTCATTGTGGGAAGACATCACCATTTTCGTCACTTCCTCAGCCACAAACTCTGAAATACACTCAGCTCTGGTGAGTTGTTCGAGATTTTTATCAGTAATAATACCCCATATGTGTGTGAGGAGTGCTTATTGGTTAAGTCGACCGTTAATTTCGGCCAAAGAGTTTTGTAACTGACGTATGTCAGTTCTATAACGATCAGCATTTCCGTGAATGTGACATACACTGTTAGACTCCCTGGTTTTTTGGTATTTTGGATTTAGGTCTTGGTAAAGCATACTGTCTGGTAGACCGTGTTTACTTTTCAATGCACGTAGGTATTTCGCCTTTTATGTCAATTAGTCTTACCGTTGGTGTACTGAAAAAAGAGATAGAAGGGTTGTTACATGGAGAATCGGGTGGTGATAGTGTCATTTATGGATAAGACGCATAGGGTTCAGAAGATAAAGGACTGTCATTGTCAGAAACTAAGTCGTCGTTTACAGTGTTTACAGACTTTGACCTTTTAATAGGCTTGAAAGTTGGTGAAATTTCTCTTTTACTAGAGTTACTTGCCATAATTTGAAGCTGGGTTAGTAAAGAGCTTGTCTAACTGAAACATAGCATCTGAGTATATAGTTTTCATTACGTATTAACCGGGTTAATACTCGGATCAGATACCATGAGTATATAACGTATGTCAGATGTAAAGTGTTCAGTTATAACGTAAGAGATTACCGGTCGGTGGAATATCTATATTTCGACTAGTATAATCCAAAGATAAAGACGCGCCAATGTCTGTTGCTGGGGCCTTATAAAAGATGTGTAAAAAAAGGCAGTCCGAGTTATATATGTATTAACTGGTAAGTGTCCGTCAAAATAACTCCGCCTGTAGCTCCTCGGGGGAGGGGTTCTGCCGGTCCCAAGCCCGAGTGAAGGAGGAGGGTTGATCATGGGGTTATAATTCTGTAGGTCACCAGGTTCACTTCTGAGGTGCATATACTCCAATGGTTATAGGTCCAGTGAATATAAGCGTCTCTAATAACACTTGAGTTTGAGTTCGGGATCTGATTTTGTGGTTCGCCACTAGAAACGTCCCAATGTGTCCTTATCTTTTTGAAGTTGGGAGAAAACACTATTTTCATAGCTGAAAGCGTGAGTCGATTGAAGCTAGACCGCCAGGGAAAACCTGTAAGCAATGGACGGCCGTTTCGTCCTATTGTAATACTCCTCAGTAGTGCGCATCCACGATCCCGCTTCGTGAAATTCAAACCCAGGACCTACCAGTCTTGCGTCAGATCACTGAACCGACAGGCTACCGAGTCGGCATCCAACAGTGGTAATGTCTAACTTCAACTAATCTATGAAGTTCAGCAACCGATCACAATGGTCTTCAATGAGTTTCTATCTCAAAACAGACGTGGTTTGAACTCCACTGGTCACTGCTTCTCAGTAGATCTCCTGGATTTACCTCTCGAAGCCAGTCACTAGTGAGCATATTATTATCAGAAGGGGGTTTTGTGGAGATTAAGTATTTTCACAGTTGGCGCGAGACCGGTGGGGCCTGAGATCGAATCCTGCGAGGCGAGGTCGTGGATGCTCACTGCTGAGGAGTATCACAATAGGACGAAACTCTGTTCAGTGCTTCCAGGTTTTTCCTGGTGGTCTAGCTTCAATTGACTCACACTTTCAACTATGAAAATACTAAATCTCCACAAAAACATCTTCTGATAAGAAAACACTGTTTTCATGCTCTAAATAAGGTCAAATGAAACTGTTGGAGCTTGAGTGGAAAGTCTTTCTATTGAAATGGCCAGGAATGCACATCAGCGCTACCGGTGAAAGGTTTTCTCGAAAGAGATTTTAATCGCTGTCAACTTAAGATTTAAGGTCACAGGGCACAAACACAATGAGATCCTTTTCAGCTAAAGGTTCCCCTTGAAGAGAGCAGTAAGCGTAGTCCGCAACATATCTCAGATGAACTACTTCACACGTTGAAGTGTCAGAAGTACGCTTCTTGTTATCCGATCAACTTTGAAGTCCGGTTACATCTTCCTGAAGTGACAGATGGTTATACTGGTTACAAACATCTCTCCAGAGTTTCATATCACCAGCGAAAACTAATGGGTCAAACAACACATTCTGAGGAAACTCCTTTATACAAACTGAGAATGGAAGAGGTCCTAGTAATGAACCCTGATGGAGCCCATTAGGACATTCCGTAGTCTGGGAAAAAATGGGGTTTAAACTAACCTTATTAAGTCAATTAGCTAGATACGAAGTGAGTCAATCAATTGATTGTGACTTCATACACAATCGTTTGAGCTTATCGATAAAACGCATATGATTGAACCTATCAACAGTTTATGAAAAGTCAAGGAATATGGCATCAACCCTCTCCCTGATATCAGAGATGGTTGTCCATCTATCCACTGTGGTCATCAGATTGATTATACAAGTGCAACCATTCTTATAACCATTCTGTTGGGGTGAACAGAGGTTTATGGGTAGTAAGTAGTCATGCAGACCATTGCATATCAGTGACTACATAATTTTTGAGGGTATTGAGAAACGTTCTGATGGCCGTCGACCTGACAGTTAGCTGTGTTAAACCTGTCTTAAGAGTTAGTGCACTGTAAACCAACTTCCAATTTTCTGTCACTGTACCTCAGCTCGGTAAATGTGAAAACATTACACTAGACGTTTTTTCCGAAATTGAAGCTGCTTCTCTCAGTCTGGTAGAACCAACCGTATACAGGCAAGTAGAAATACCCTTGTTTAAATGCTGAAATCTCTGATACAACAATTCAATGGTCAGGTTTACTTTTCAGAGCCCTATTGTGTTGCAAATGAAGCTCTCGTCAGTGCAATTTGTTTTGGACGGTCGAAATATTCAGAGATACTGCTTTGAAGAAGACCAGATGCAATACCGTCGTTGTTGGCTTGACCATGAGGACCTAACACGTAAGAAACTCCGGTTTTGGCACGCCGAAATAAAGCTGCTCGGCGGAATAAGCTTATCGGATTTGTCGATTAGCTTTACCTGACACTGAAGCCTGTCTTCTGATGTCGCCTGTGAGCATTGGTTTCTTGCATGTTTGAACTACCTATATGTACTGTTATCACTTGTCCGTTTTTATTCCTCCCAGTAGTGTTTTTTGAGTCTTGACATTCGGAGAGTGAGAATCTTGATGACCATACTTTGCTCGTGGTTTTTGAGGACAGCTTTTGTAACAGATAGTTTTGTGACACATGAGATCGGGTGCTGTAGGAAGTCCCAATGAACGTCCACATCAAGTTGAGGGTGGGCCTACCAGTTCACCTACTGAAGATTGACCTGTGAAGCTGACTCACTCAACCGTTTGAAATTCCAATCCCTGTTGTTAATAGGATATTTTAGATCGGTTTCATTGATAAGATCTAAGGTTATGATAGCATGACCACTTTTACCCATAGGAACCAAGAGTGAAGGGCTCTCAATTTAAAGGTCCTCGTTTATAAATAAGTGGTCTAAGAGCGACGGAGTCTGACCATTTCTCTAACGATTCGCTGACTTGACATTTTTGAATAATTCCAGATCTTCTGTGAGGTTGAGGAATCGGCCTTTGGTAAATTTGTCACCTTCAATGCATTTATACTCAGGGAAGTTGATTTCAGGAAGATAGGAGTCTCCTAGGATCAGGACACGAATGTATCCAAGACCAGTAGAGTGGGATAACTTCTCCAGAATATGGGCTTCCCTTAGATGACTCCAACTAGACACCTCGAGATGTCAGATAATCTCACTGTGTACCATAAAGATTCATCAAAACTGATAAACTCTCGAGTATTCGTTTGATATGCCACTAAGCAAGATCGTGGGTACAGGGCTATTCCTCGGCCCACTCCTGTTTTCACTCGTTGAGAAACAAAGACGTGTCGCATTGTACAAGCCTCTAGTCCATCATTTGAGAATATATTCATGTTTCAGGTTTTTCTATCACATGAGCGTTATTAAAATCATTGAGTTTACGCAACTCATCCATTTCATTCGGCAAGCTCTCAGCGTTTATATATAGGCAGTTTATGCCTTGAGTTTGAGACGTGTGAGCCTCCATGTCCTGTTTATATCAATGAGCCTTATGTGAATAAATAGGCAACCTACCTGAACTGAGTTCTCCGAGGTGATACCCCATGTCTTCTCCATGTCGTTTCCATGATCTTCACAGTCCACAAGTGGAATAGTCAGCTCCAACTGGCTTTTGTGCTTGACCCTTGCATTATATGGCCTGCCCGTTTGCATTTGGAGTACAGTTGTCAACCAACGTCTGTTTGCACAAAAGGGTTGAGGAGTGGCAGCTGCTATACGGGAGGGTGGGAAGATTTTTCCCATTAGAAAGAGTCAACAATCTCCGTTATTCTTAACTAGTCACACCACTTGCTGAGCCATTATGTTCTTGAGCTTAAAGGACTGTTTTATGAATTTTCATTTCAGAATATCATAGTCTGTGTTGTCGGGGCCTATGTTTTTTGGGACACCTTGCACAATAACATTTCTCTCACGAGAAAACGTTTCGCGAGATGATTCAGGAATGTTCCTGATGATCGCGTTTCAGATTATCGTGCCCTTGGCTGACTGTTTGAACACCCTTAGGGGTAGATTACACAGCCAATTCACTAACTGATTCAAATACAAAGCATAGGCTGTTCGGCGTTTTTGATAGTGACACTAAATCCATTTTTACTCTGTTGACTGGGGTTCAGTCGCCTACCGAATGTCCGAAGACCACAGTTGCACTTGGAGAGCCTGCACTGGGAAATATAAATTTGCCTAAAGAGCCCAAAACAGATTCTTTAGATCAAAAATGGCGCTTTTGTTGAGTAAGGATACAGCAAAAGTTTGAGAAATGCAAATCACACAGGGCACTAAAAATGTCTTTCGTAAAGCGCGCTCGGATGTCAAAAATTATTCGAACAATCAAGTGTTAGATCAAGCAAGTTTTCGGGTGTACTTTATCTGTATTTTCTTGATAGTCAGGTACGTTACGTCCATGAAGTAATCAAAACTATAATCTTAGCTTTTGCCTCATTGTTGTTTGTTACAGTCAATCAGCGTCCTTAACACGTGCATCCGTTCAACCTTTGAGTTTTGGCCATGGATGAGTTAAGGGAAAGGAACATCGTTCTCGCAAAATTATGTGAACAAGCTGAACGATATGATGGTGAGTCAAAAGCTCTTTAAATATTTTGTTCCATATATCTGCAAACACTTTGGACAAAAAGTACGTGTGTTAATTCGATTGCACATGCTTTCTGTATGTGCAGTATATATGAATGAACTTCAACTGGCATCAACTGTTCCCCATGATAATGTTTTGTATATTATTTTATTACTTCTGACCCCAGCCTGTATATTTCCTCCAGTCAACATATTTTGGTTGACTCATTTCAATCTTCTAGGTGGACGTTCCACTTTGTCTACTCTATGTCTACCTGTCCTATTACTCCAAATTTATGGTATTACAGAGAACACACATTTTGCATGTGTTCGGTCATATATGCCTTTGCTAGGAGTGGAACTGCCCGGTGAGTGGTGTTATAGTTAGCTGCCACGTTCTTTAAATACTAAGGGGGAATGAACTAGTGCTGTATAACCTACGTATTGCAATCGCCTAATAACCCAAAGTCAATCTACAATGACTGTTACTTTGTATTTCTGTCGAACTTATACGATTTACCGGTCCATAAAGTCGAAATTAATGCTAACAACATGAAGAAATGACATCTTGTGCTCGTTTCGCAGGTTGAAAACCAAACCAAACAGTCTAAAATAAATCACAAAACGCGAATAGATCCTACCCAAACCCCTGGAAATGTATGTCTAGTGTTCTCTTTCATCGATTTATTTTGCTTTTATCATATACTTGATCTTACAACACATTTCTGCTGTTGATATGCAGAACCTATTCAGACGTTTTTGGTCCAATTACTGTATGTTGACGCCCAACCACTATTGAATCGGTCTAGAAAGACATTTACTACCTAACGTAATGTCCCCTTGGTTTCTGGTTTCAGAGTACAGTCTCTAACGAAACTATGATTTATGAACGAACCAGGCAGATATAAGATAACAGGTCTTGTATTTTGGCGGAAAATTCATGCATTTATTTTTCTAAATAGCGTTTTGGCATCTTAGCTGGTGTCAGTTCGTGATGATAACCCTAAGTCTAGTTCCTCACCCTAACCACCAACTGTGGATTAAAATTCGAATTCTTTGCACTGGTTTGTAACCCTTACGTAGTTCTGGTTAGCAGGCGAACACTCACGGGATAACTTTACGGTCGCTCAAAGATCGTCACTAAGTTTTCTAACCGAATCGAAATTCCTAATCATAGGAAAGATGGCATTGTAATTTGTTCAGATCTTGAGCTCATTGTACTTTCACATCATTAGTTTTTGGTTCTCAATATATTCCAAAGCACTACTCTTTTTTGTCGCACAAATCTCTTAAATGCAATGTCACTGTAGTACGATTCGGTCTTTAGTGCCTTGGTAAACCCACGTTATCTCGTTTCGCCACACTGATTATTCAAGTGGTTTTTAGAAATTTGTATGCATTTGTCTGAAGATCTTGGGTACAATTTACATCAAATCCAGGCATGATATCAATCCATGGTTCACATCTGAATAATGAACTTTATGTCACGACTTAATTTAATTGGACTAGTAATCACTATACTAATCACGATAACCCTTTTTAGAAATGGTTAAAGCCATGATCGAAATAGCTACGAATACCGAGACTGAACTTACAGTCGAAGAACGAAACCTTCTGTCTGTTGCATACAAAAACGTCATTGGTGCCCGCCGATCATCGTGGAGAATAATAAATTCAAAGGAGAGCCAGGATGAAGCTAAGGGATCAGACGAAATACATATAACCAAGCGATTTCGAAAAGAAGTGGAAAAAGAGTTAGACGAAATATGCACGAGTATTTTGAACCTTCTGGATAACTGCCTGTTACCAAAAGCTGTTTCAGACGAATCAAAAGTCTTCTTAAATAAAATGTTAGTATTGTTTTAGTTTCAGTGCATATTTTGTTTAGGAGAGGCGATTACCATCGCTATAGAGCCGAGTATTCTGTTGGGAATCAAAGAAAAGACGCAGCCGAAAACAGTCTTTGTGCATATAAAAAAGCAGCAGAGGACGCGGAGAAACTTCCTGTTACTCATCCTATTCGACTAGGTCTTGCCCTAAACTTCTCAGTGTTTTATTATGAAATTCTTAATAACTCTGAACAAGCGTGCAAATGCGCAAGAGTAGCGTTTGATTCGGCTATCGCTGAACTAGATACGTTATCGGAAGAAAGTTACAAAGATTCAACAATAATTATGCAACTATTAAGGGATAATCTTACACTTTGGACCTCAAATAGTGAAGGTAAGCATTCTTTGTTGTGTAATCTTTTTTCTTTAGGCGAAAAGGATACTGCTTCTCCTAAGGGTGACAAAAAGTGACCACTGACTATATCTATCCACTTTCTCACCTTAGTAATACTGATTGCTTCCTTCTACTCTGTGGAAATCTGTAAGAAAAAAGCTTCATTTAATTCTTCCAGCTGGTCGGTATTTCTATTCTGCTAAAATTGTGCAGAGGTGATCCAATATAGAACAATTTGTCTAACTTTTCTGCTGTTTTCTAATGCTTATCTGGGGTCCTACTAAGGCTTTTTAAACTTATTTTGTGTCTGGTCAACTTAATAATAAATGTATTTTTGAACGGAATTATGAAGTTAAAGTGCGGAGTGAGTAAACGATAAATTTAAAAACGGATAGGCCTAAAAGGTGCCAGAAACATTATCGCACTTTATAATTAAATCTATCTGATAAGAAGAAATGGGTCTGTAGGTATCATTACCAAGTTTTGATTTGATAATTTTGAATAAATTGAGCATTGGGTGGATTGTAGTGCATCCGATAAAAAAGTAGTTAGCATTTGTAAGAAAACTAGGTAGACCTGAAAATTATGTTTGAAATAAAAAACAAATGGTTGTGTACGGAGGTGGGTTGATGGTCCTACATACTTTTCCGAGACATTGATCCACTTTTATCGCCATGACATTCTCTTGTGACAACCACAAATGAATCACATAGACTGATGTTCTAGTGTCTAGAATATTAGCTTTAAAGTTCGTGACAAGAAAACTAGGCTGATCTTTGATGTGAACAAAATATTCGCCCCACTTCAGGTCCTGGAACACAGACATACTTTTCGACGTACGGCCACAATGGTATTCCTTGATCTCAAGGTACCACTCAACTCCATTGACTGAGAGTTTCTATTGCATCATTTGTCGTTAGAGGGTATACTAAAAAAGTACATCAACCTTGTACAGGCTTTCTACTTGAATACTCCTGGTTGAGTCAGCTTATGACAAGCTGTCATCGAAAATGTCCATCAGGTCTATCCGCTTTCCCTATTTTGATTTAAATTCGTCATAGATACACTTAGAGATAACACTTGCATCGTCTGACATCAAGAATTGGTCTTTTACCAGATTCACTTGGTGACTTAGAATACACAGATAATATGGTACTTTTTGGTGACAAAATGCAGTTTTCTAACCACCTTAAGCAGCATTGCAAACTTGCTTTGGATGCGGTTTCCTCCCTTCAGCTTTAAAATGCTACTCCAAGATCGGTTTGTGTCAGCGTCTGAATTAATGGTAGGGAGTAAAGTAGATGAAGTTATCGACTGCTTCACTTATATTGGCAGCCTCATCAATCCTGGTGGATTGGAGTCTGGCGAAATCTCGGCAAGTATTCAGAAGGCCCGATTGGCTTTTATCAACTGGCGTCCCTTGTATCCTAGGTGAGTTATCCATCTTCCAATAACAGGGCAAGTTTAATATGCAGCAGTTTGCTTTGTCCTTTATGGATTCGAAGCATGATCATTAAGAATAAACGATATCCGTAGTCTTCTAGTATTCGATCATGAGCGTCTTCGAATCAGTGCTCATGTATTTTGGGATTATCGAGCAACCAGTGTCTGTGTCAAGGATAAGGTGATAGGTACAGATGACAAGTCGATTAATGAGATAGTAAATCTTCATCGCCTGTTATGGTCAAGATATCATGTATCCCCAACCATCGACGGACGATGTTTTCTGATATAGAAGTTGTAAAAAGCTAAGGGTTGCTAAAGCAAAACATGGCATCGTATGAAGTCACCGACAATTGGATAGAGTCATGTTAATATGTATAGACTACCTGGTTTGCGTGATTAACATAGTGGTTAGAGAAAAAACGTTTGCAATGACGTACGTACATCCGTTCTTTGTCTTCCACTGAATTCTTCGTAACTGTTGTTTTTATTTCACTGGGTTTTATTTATTCGAACTGTCTTCGATGCCTAACATTTCTTATTACCACTGACACTGTTACTACCTCTGCTATTTTAAGATTTAACTTGACAATCTCATCTCTATCCAAATTAGGTATGGCAACTTAAGGTGATGTACATGGGTGCCAGATTCTATTTCTTGACTGAGTTCTTATCAATCTCTGTGCTGACGCGGCGTAACATCTCAGACTCATGCTAATTTGTGCCAGATCCTACGTTGATTATTAATAACCGACTTAACAATTCCTACTATTGACACATATAACCTACATTTCACAGTTTTGTGGTACGCATCTGAGCCAAATTATAAATGGTCACGGAACAGAAAATATCCAGTATAATGACCCTTATATTCCCGACCAACATAAATGCTCATGTCTGAAGTACGTATTCTTGCTTAGTTCCTTTATCTTGATGGAAAATAATAAGTCAGGAGACTATGTTTGATGATAAGTGTTGTCGCTTTACACCATGAGATTTTACCGCATTAAGTCAGAGTGCTCTAATCTTTTTGAGATTCATTTATGAGATTAAACTGTTGTTTACTCATTTAGCTGACAATAAATTCATAATTTGGCGTACCTCATACACTAGAGGTATGCATCGCACTCAACTCATTGTGTTTGATTGACATCAATTCGATCACCTATCAGATCAGTCTGCAAACGAAACAACTTGATACTTATCACTCATGCGAGTCAGTTTAGGTTCCAGTGGTAGTGGATAACCATGTTAAAGCTATTTTAGTGGTGGTTCTATGGAATTTTAATAATGATATCTTCCCCTTTAACTCGGTCTCCGTTAGCTCAATCGTACAAATAATACGTGCGCGGTGCTGCAAGGATACTAAAGACATCGATACTGCTTGATAGAAGTGTAAGTCCTTTGTTGTTTCAAGCTTAGTGTTCATCAGCAAAACTACTTAGACATTTCCCAAAGCAGCAAGTTGACTATTAAAGAAACTTGTTACTATTGTCTAATTACGCTGTGAAAAGAAATGACGATTCACATGTGAGCGTAAACTGGCTAAACAGATACCAAAATAGAGCCTGACATGTGTGGATTGGCCCAGGTTCCCATAACTGGTTAGTAGAACGAGATGAAAATAAACGAAACCAAGACAATGTAGTAGCAACGATGAAAAGAAAGACAGTCTTGGAAATATGGTTTAGGAAGACTGAATGGGAAGGTATACATAAAAGTTCCTAGAACATTAATGAGTCAGGTATGGAATTCGATGCCGGGTGTATTTCACTTTGACAGTCAAATGATTAGTGGTTGTTGAGAAGCGTTCGGATTTTATGTTTACTTACGGAGTGTATTGAAATAGACTAATGTTCAAGCCTAAGCATTAGTGTTAAGTCCTCCTAAAATAACTGCCGGTATTTTGAGCACCTCAGTAACCAAAATATCCAATCATATCTGATATATACAAATATCTATTTAAACTAGGATAAGATAATGAGTATGTACATTGTGGTACCAGCTTCATAATGGAAAAGTTCACGACCCAGAGGAACGATTGTGAAGTAAAATTCAAATTACCTGAGGTAGTCGGTTTAACATCTGGGCTTTCACTGATGTCTATCACTTAATCATATTGTACATTTTTAGCAAATTATTGTCAACAAAATGAGTTATTTTTATGAATAATAATGGTAAGCTATGTAAGTTGTATTTTACCCGACGATGAATTGTTAGTCACGCAATGAACATAGGGAACATCTGAAAGAACGAAAAAAATACCAAAAGATTGGTCATGACTTATTTGTCAGAAAAAAATTGTCACAATTAGTATTGTGGTGTGCGCTACTGATGTCGACGGATATAAGTATCAATGCGAAGTGCAATACCTGATAGCAGAAGGCTAAGAAGATCAAAGAGAAGAGGACGAGAACAGAGAGTGATTGGTTTGGAAACGAAGGAACAATCCAGTCCGAGACAGTCGATTGATATTTTTCAAATTTAGTATTTACTATATGGTTCCTATTTCACTAAGAAATCCTGTAATTTTGAAATGTATTTACTTGTCCCCACTAGTGTTCTCATTCACTATAGTATTACTAGAGGTATTACTACAATGCAACTGAGTCATATTTCTATTTCAAAAAGTGAAGGCTCTATATATAAATGATGACCGATATCTATCCCTTCAGTATTGATCAGATTCTACAGATCAAGCCTCGGTGTTGCCAGTAGTCTAAAAGACTCAATGGTAACGTCCCTGACTATGCAGTTAGGTGACGTGGTCTTGAGTCCCACAAGGAGCATCATTGTTGGTGAGTTCCATCTAGTATGAAACTCAGGCACAGGGTTTCCTGCTGACTACCTTCAACCACTGGATATTACGACATACAAAGTAGGTTAATTGGACAACGTAATGTCGTGCTGGGTTCGAGTCTCGGAGTAGATGTCAGTCGTAGGATGCAGGTACATTAAGGTAGCTTATATCGAATAAGGCGAGACGCGTATCCTGGATTCTATTGCTAGTCATCATCCATCTCTGCTTAAAATCCTTGTGTGTTAACGGTAATATTGCGGGAATCCGTACAGGAGGCACGTATGCCAAAAAAGACTGAACAGTTTTAGTCATAAACATCAATGAGAAATTCAAATAACCAATACGTATAAACATACAAGTTCGTTTTTCAAAAAATCTTTACAATCCCATTTTTTTCATAAAATTTTTATGGAAAACCATTAAAAGTCTAAATGAATGATAATTAGAACATAGAAACTGTCTCGTTTACATCTGAACTTGAATTATACATAGATGACCTAAAACACTTCTTATTTTTGGTTAAATTACTATGATTTATTCAACTAATTTTAACGGATACCATGAAATTATTTGATTTGAATCAATTGAGAGTTTCACTTAAATAGTGTGAAATGATTATTTTCAACAACAAAAAAACAGCTTCCCTTTCTAGTTGTTGCCAAGTTCTATTTATCCATTTTATATATGGCTCCAATTCCCGGCATAATTTGTTCTTGAGTTTGCCTTTTTTCATACTGTTTTAACGATTTCAAGCTAGAGCGTGCTTTGTGATGAAGTTTGATGATTTCCGCAATGTACAACCTATTCACCTCCGGAGTCTTTTCCTAATTTCCTCTTCGGCTGGAAGTTGGATTGCCCTTCGTCATAGTAGGTCTTTGTTAATAGTATTCGGCGAACGGATATGGAGTATTATGAGTAAACAATCGTTTATAAATACCTTCACCTCATCGATGATGGTTGTAGTAGTTCTCCAAGTTTAAGCTCTGTACGCCAAAACGATCTCGACGTTTTTACTTAGAATTCTGACTTTGATATTGGTTGACAGTTGTCTTAAGCCCCATATGTCCTTTAATTCTAGGAATGCTGCATTTGTTTCACAAT